CCCGCCGCAGCCGCGCGGCCCTCGGCGAGCGCGCTTGCAAGCGCGTCATCCTCCACCAGCGCCAGACCGTGCTGCTCCGCCTGTGGTTCGCAGCGATCGGAAGCCATGTGCTTTTCCCGCCCATTGCTGCGGTGCATGTGTGCCCCTAGCGAGGCTGGGCATGCGTGGTGTTGAAACGTGCAGGACCCACCGTGCCGAGGTCGGCGAACAGGGCGTCGATGCCGCCGCCCTGGCCTTGGGGTCTTCTCAGATCGGCCATGGCGGACCGATACTGGTGCTTTCTCGCTGCTTCTGCTCCCCAACCTCAGCCGCAGTGCTGATGTTGCTGCTTCATCAGATCGCCGCGATCTAGACCGTATGCACAACCTGAAGGCATTCCAAGCATTCTTCTACCATCCATCCTCACTATCATGGCGCTGCCGTGAGCATTAGACACCGACAATACTCCTGGTGAGTCAAGTGAGTGCCTGACGGGCTCACTTCACGCCCTGTATTGCTCCAATTTTGTGTACTCTGTAAATAGAATTGCATGCGCTCAGCACTTCACACTCCTTCTGCAAACCGGTGCGCAACCCACAGGCTGCCCTGTAGAGGTGTGCTGGACTAGAATACAGGCATAGCGTCTGCATACAAAATAATATGGAACTGCGTAACGGAAGGACGGTCGGGCTCCACGGACCCCTGCCCATGGACAGGTCGGCGCTGGCGCTGCGCCGGCTGCTACCCCACCGCCGCACCCGCCGCTTCTCGCGCCACACCCAGCTGCTCCCAGCGCTTACACGCAGCTGCCCAAGACGCCTCCTGCCTGTGCGCGCCCCTTGCAAATAGGCGGCCCGCCTTTGAGGAGGGCGTCACAGCCGTGTTCACCCAGTGGACGGCGCTGTGCCTTGCGGTAGAGAACGAGTGGGGCGGTCCGCTCAGCGTGGATAAGGCCAACCAGATCATACAGGACGTCCTAGACTGGTTCTACGACAAGAAGGGTGAGACCTAACTGGGAGACCGATTTTTGGTGCGACTCCAGTCCTGAGAGCCCGCCCTTGCCTGCTGGTGAAAGGCGTGCTGCGTTGCATGGCCTCCTAGGCAGCGGCTATCAGTGACTGTGCACACACCGTCCGGCCCGTGCCTGGCCCCGTGCCATCATCCACCCTGAAGAGCACCATGCTGATGATCTTGAGCTAGAGCTGGAGGATGCATTAGTCCAGGACTTCAACACTGAGTGCGAGGATGGCAGCCCCAAGCAGGTGCGCATGGGCAGGCGGACGGCAGCCGGGCCGGGCCGCCCAACGCCTGCAGTCGCCGCAGCTGTTGGTGTGGGATCAACCAGCTGCTGGTTCACCCGTGTCTTACGGCCAAGCTTGCTGCTGAACCCATGGCAGTCATATTGGGCGCACCACTCGCAGCTGAGGGCTGCTGCGCCCCAGCGGCGTACAAACATATGCTTGTCATGCCCGCAGTCGCCCTTTGAGCGCTCAACGCCTGTCGTACGCACCTTGCAGGTCGCCGCCACCCTGGTTGAGCTGCACACCCAGCTGCTGCAGGGCAGCACCACGCTGTTGGAGCAGATTCGCAGCCGGCAGGCCTCAGGCGCAGCTGCCAGCAAGCGCCAAGTGGTAAGCGCTTGGGCCTTGCTCTGCGGCTCTGGCCTGCCGTCCTGCAAGTTGTGCTGCAAGCCTGCTTGACGTGTAATTTGAACCCATTCCCTTGTGGCCCTTGATTGTGCATGAATCTTGGCACGAAGCTCGCACAACTCACATGGACACATCGCCGTCGCTGCCCTCCTGGCCCCAAGGTGGATTTTGATGGAGCAGAGGTGGAGGGCGGCAGCAGCAGCGGCGAAGATGATGACGGTGATGAGGGAATGGACGAAGACAATGACGCGCCGGCGGCAGTGGCGCTGTCCGCCCAGCAACAGCAGCAAACGCAGGCGCGGGAGAAACCGCAGCCCGTCGTGGATGCTGATGGCTTTGAGATGGTGCAGGGGCGGCGGCGTGGGCGGCGGTAGGTAGTTTTGGCAGGCTGGTGTGACAAGCATGGGATTTGCTTCCGCGGCTGCAAGCGTGTCCATGCTAGGATGGAATCTGGTTTGTGCAATCGCCGGATTACAGCGATACCGCAAAATGCTGCAGTAGCATCATGCTGGTTGCTGCATCATGTTCGTATAGTTTCATATGCCCATGCCTTCAAAGGGTTGCTTGAGATTGTTCCAAGCTGTGTGCGTTGCGCCATGTGTAACCCCTGCTTCCAGTCCAATTGCTGGCCTGCCAGATGAGGGAGGCAAGCTGCAAATGTTGCGCTGCCCTGCAGAGCAGTGAGGCAATCTGGCACCAGAACGCAACACCCTGATTGCTTCTCGCGATTCTTAGCCTGATGTTCCCTCAACTATGCTTGAGAAGCACGAACAGTAATGGACATACAAATACTCCATCTGCTTTCAAAAGCGATCAACCAGCACCAGACGAACACAGGAGCCAGCGGGCGCAAGGCAGCTGGGGGGCAGCTGCCGCCCCTGCTGCTGCCAGATCGCTCGCTACTTATCCTGCACGGTTCAGTATCTTCTTCACATCAGCACCGTTGAGTGTTGAAAGCCCCTACTCCCCCCAAAGCCCCCCAAAG